TTACTACAAATACGTGCTCTTTGTAAACAACTAATACATGGAAATACTCCCTATAAGTGAAAGCTCCCTTGAAGTCCATTCTCTAAAGAGGTAATCACAGGTAGTAGTTTGTTACTTTCCTACAAATTTCTGTATGCATATATCATTTTTAAAAGCAGGTTCACATGACACATTACTGTTTGGGTGACTTGTTTTTTTTTCCCATTTAACATGGGCATTTTTCCATATCAATATAAATAGATTTACCTCACTTTTTAAAAAAATTTATATATTTTATTGATTATGCTATTACAGTTGCCCCATTCCCCCCCCCCCCATTCCCTTCTCTGCACCCATTTCCCCACATTAGTTCATGTCCATGGGTCATACATATAAGTTCTTTGGCTTCTCCATTTCCCATACTATTCTTAACCTCCTCCTGTCTATTTTGTACCTACCATTTATGCTTCTTATTCCCTGTACCTTTCCCCCCTTTCTCCTCCCTCTGCCTCCCCCTGATAACCCTCCATGTGATCTCCATTTCTGTGATTCTATTCCTATTCTAGCTGTTTACTTAGTTTCTGTTTTTGTTTTTTTAGGTTCATTTGTTGATAGTTATGAGTTTGTTGTCATTTACTGTTTGAATTTTTTATCTTCTATTTCTTAGAAAAGTCCCTATAACATTTCATATAATAAGGGCTCCTTTAACTTGACCTTATCTGGGAAGCACTTTATCTGCCCTTCCATTCTAAGTGATAGCTTTGCTGGATAGAGTAATCTTGGATGTATGTCTTTGCCTTTCATGACTTTGAGTATTTCTTTCCAGGCCCTTTTTGCCTGCAAGGTTTCTTTTGAGAAATCAGCTAATAGTTTTATGGGAACACCTTTGTAGGTAACTGTCTCCTTTTCTCTTGCTGCTTTTAAGATTCTCTCCTTTTTAATCTTGGGTGATGGAATTATGATATGCCTTGGTGTGTGCTTACTTGGGTCCAACTTCTTTGGGACTCTGAGCTTCCTGGACTTTCTGGAAGTCTATTTCCTTTGCCAGATTGGGGAAGTCCTCCTTCATTATGTTTTCAAATAAGTTTTCCATTTCTTGCTCTTCGTCTTCTCCTTCTGGCACTCCTATGATTTGGTTGTTGGAACGTTTAAAGTTGCCCTGGAGGTTCCTGAGCCTCTCCTCATTCTTTTGACTTCTTGTTTCTTCATTCTGTTCTGGTTGAATGTTTATTTCTTCCTTTTGTTCCAAATCATTGATCTGAGTTCTGGTTTCCTTCCCTTCACTCTTGGTTCCCTGTACATTTTCCTTTATTTCACTTTTCATAGCCTTCACTTTTTCTTCAATTTTGCGACCATACTCAAATCATTTCTGTGAGCATCCTGATTACCAGTGTTCTGAACTGTGCATCTAATAGGTTGGCTTCCTCTCCATCACTTAGTTGCAATATTCTGGAACTTTGATCTGTTCTTTCATTTGGGCCATGTTTTTCTGTCTTGGCATACCTGTTTACATAGTAATGGGTGGAGCCTTAAATAGCCACCAGGGTGGGGTAACCCACATGGGTGTGTTGTGGTGCTGTAAGGGGGAGGGGTCCAAGAGGGAGCAATGCCACTTGCTCAGCTCTTGGCCGGCTTTCATTCACTTCCTCTGCTACCCACAACCAAATTGGGCCCTTCTGGTGCTGATTCCTGGGTAGGTGGGTGGGTTTGTGTGCATTCTAGGACCCTGTGGATCTCTCCAATGAACTCTCCTGTGAGGCTGGGAGTTTCTCCCACCACCACAACCTCCACAGGTTTTTTTCAGTCAAAGGTTTTGAGGCTTTTATTTCCCGGTGCTGGAATCCTGGGTTGGGCAGTCTGTCTTGCTCCCTAGTTGTTCCTCCTAGTTTATCTGCACACAGATGTGGGACCACCTGCTCTGCCACCTGCCGCCTCACCTGGTCTTCCAGCCACCACCTCAGCAGCCTCAGTTTTCCAGCCACCACCTTGCAACAAGTCCTCTCCACCCCAGCTGCCTGTCTCAACCCCTCCTACCAGTCTGGATGAATATTTCTTTTTTAACTCCTTGGTTGTCCGACTTCCATACAGTTTGATTCTCTTGCAGTTCTGGTTATTGTTTTGTTTTTAAATTTGTTGCTATCCTTCTTATGGTTTTGTGAGGAGGCAAAGTATATCTACCTACACCTCCGTCTTGGGCGGAAGTCCTACCTCACTTTTTAAATAACTTGATTGAGTTATATGACATGGATACCAGACTGCAGTGCTGGCGGCATTATGGATAAGATACGAGACAAATTTGCGCGGACTACTAAGTCCTGTGAAGGAAAAGGGATTCTCTCTCAAGGGGAGAGCAAGCCTTGGAGCTCCTCGGCCACTCTCTCAAGAGGAGAGTGCCCTGACCCTTGCCTTAACAGTCTTTTATTGAATTCAGTTTGCACATGAATACAGGGTGTATATGTAAAGCTCATCAGTCATTGTCAGGCAGAAATGATTAAACAATAGATAACATTCAGAGAACTCTGAGGGCTTATTCTGAGTCAGGGTCAGATAGTTTAGGGAACAAACTTACTTCCTGCTTGGACCCTTATCATTTAAATTGAGGGTATTAGCAGAGTAGGTTTCATAGGATTTATGTATTCTTTCTTAGGCCTGATCATCCGGAGGGAACCTGGCCTTTCCAGCACAGGGCGGCACCCACCTCCAGCATTGTTTCAGGCTTAAGTCAGGCAGGGGAAGTAAGGCAGCCAAGAGATTAGGAGATTTCTTGCAGACAGAATGAGGACTCAGGCTATGTCAAAGCTGAGGAGCAAGGGTCCATCACCCTTTTTTTCTGTAGCTCCCAAGTCCTTCTCCAGGGGCCTGCCCATGATCGTGCCTGTCTTAGGTCTTCCTTCCCTTGAGGAATCTTACCTGTCATTGGCTAACCAATCAAGCATTGGAAGCCAGGCAGGGTGAAGTAAAAGGAGCAGAGGCAGCGCCCCTGCCAGGGAGGATAAGCTTTGTCTCCTTAGTGGCTTATGGTCCCAAGGTCGCTCACTCAGCCTTAGCCGTGGGAGGGTTATAGCCTCTGAAACCAGGCAGGGCGGTTCCCAACAGAATAATTTCATGTCATAAAATTCATCTGTGGCAGATGTACCAGCTCTACTTCAGTTTTTAACAGTTGAATACCATTATGTAATAATTTATATTTAACGCTTTTCCCACTGATAGACAGTTAGGTGATTTTGAAATCTTCCACTGTTATATACAGTGCAACAATGCATTCTTTTACACAGACTCTGGGCATTTGTATGTGTAAAGGTAGAAGGAAATCCTAGGAGGTAGAGTTTTGGGGCCAACATTTAAAATCATAATATTGCCAAAATATCTGCTGCAACTTTTCAAGTCATCTGTACATTAATAAGAAAAAAAAAAAGAACTGCACACACACATCTTTGCCCACTCTGAGATTATATTAAATTACTAAATTTTCTTGGCCAGGGAATATGGATTAGCAGTGCAGTGGTGATACAGCGCAGGAGCAGATGCAGCATATCTCTGAGTTCCATGGACCTAGAGTGTCCCCAGTTGCTCAGGGACACTGGCTGGCAGGGTAGGGTCCTCCCAGGACAGCCCTTCATACCTGGGGCCTCCATCAGAGTTCAGGAAGGATTCACCCCACCAATCAAGCCCTCATTAGGAATTCTTACAGATCTCTAGCTCCTTCTGGTTCTTAAGCGGAACTCTGCATCCTGGAGGCCTCATTTGTCCCACCTTCCACCCAGCAGCATCTATAAGATCTCTTCCTCCCACGACCCTGGGTCCCAGAAGGCTTTGTTCACCATGACCACCCCAACACCAGTTTAATGCCCCCCTTTACCTGGTAGCTCTAGTGACTAGGGTCACAAAATCACTTTGCCAGTTTCCCCAGGATTGTACTGTTTACTTTCCACCAGCATTTGAAGGGTGCCCGTTTCCTAATATCCTCACCAAACGTTTGCTCATCTGAGTAAGAATAATGACTAATTTGCATTTTAGTGGACATTATTGGGGTTGCATGTCTTGTGTGTTTGTCAGCTATTTGTATGTCTTCCCGTCAGACATCCCCATGGAGCAGTCACAGTGACAGTGCTTCCTCACCCACCCTGACACCATCAGTGGCAGGTGGATCTGAGACCTGCTCCCCGGGAAGGCTGTGGTTCTGAGGAGGTCCCGTGTTCAGAGAACTAAGCATATTTATTTGCTAGACAATTTAGCTTTTCTTTCTTGTTTCTCTCTCAACCTTTGGCAGAACATCCACACAGGAGGATTAAAGTTGGCTAACTTAAAACCTTGGCTCCATCTGGCCCAAAAATAGCCAAGTCTTTACCAAAAAATGTTCTTGAGCATTTTGACTACAAACCCAGATTGTCTGGTTCTTGTATCTCTGGCCAGATGTGGTAAGGTGGGGAGACGTGGATGGGCCAATTCACCCTGCCTTGTGGTTAGTTAAGAGGAAGAAGGGTTTTGGGAAGTTGTCCTCTGGCAGATTTGGTCCTCTGGTCCAAAACCAGAGAAAGCTAAGCGATTTTAGTCCTGTTGCAGGAATAATGGCTTGCAAACTGAGCTCCTCGGAGAATCCGTTATGCAAATCCATGGAATTTATTGAATTAAAAATAAATATCTGGGCAGTACTCGATAAATACATTTTAAGTGACAGACTGAATGAATTCCATTGGTCAACAAATATTGTTTAGCGACCTATTAAGAGCCAGGTACTCTCTTACCTGAGAGTGGGGCCCTGAGCCTATTCTTCAATGGGCTTTTATTGGGTTCAGTTTGTGCAGGAATACAGGTTAAAGCTCATCAGTCATTGGCAGGCAGTAATTATCAAACAATAGATAACATTCAAAGAATTATGAGGGCTTATTCTGAGTCAGGGTTAGTAAGCTAAAGTGCTATGAAACTTTGGGAAAACTCATTTCATGCTTGGACCCTTATCAGAAAATTGAGGGCATTCTTAGCAAAGCAGGTTTCACAGGATTTTATGCATTCTTTCTTAGGCCTGATTCACTGGGGAATCTGCCCTCCCACCACCCCGCAAAGCTGCACCACCCTCTGGCATTGTTTCAGGCTTCAGTCAGACAGGGGAAGTAAGGCAGCCAAGAGATAAGGAGACTTCTTGCAGACAAGAAGAGGACTCAGGCGATGTCAAAGCCGAGAGGTGAGGGTCCATAACCCCCTTTTTCTGTAGCCTCCCCCAAGTCCTTTCCTGAGGGCCCCTTCATGACCATGCCTGTCTTAGGTCCTCTCTCTCTTGAGAAATCTTATCCGTCATTGGCTAACCAGTCATCTGCCCAGGGCCAAGCAGGGTGAAGTAAAAGGGGCAGGGCAGCACCCCTGCCAGGAGGATAAGCTTTGTCTCCTTTAGTGGATTATGGTCCCAAGGTCTCTTTACTCAGCCTTAGCCATGGGGGGTTAGAGCTTCTGAAACCAGGCAGGGCGGTTGTCAACACTTTGTCTTACCAAGCTTTCTAGTGGGAAAAAAAGACAGTAGTCAAGAAAACACATAAGAATTTCTGGAATGAGAGAGGGGCTAGAGCTGTTAAGAAAACAGGGAAAGGCAGGCTGTGCACATCTTGGGTGAGATGGGCCCTGGAGGCCTCCAAGGAAGTGACCTGGGGGCTACGACAAGAATGAAAAGGAGGCGCTGCCACCTGGAGAGCTGGGAGCAGGGTGTTCCAGACAGAAAGTGCAGCAGGAGCCACAGGGGGTGAGGTCAGAGAAGCGGGCACAGACCTGTCATGTGGTACCTTGGCCATGAGAAGGAGTCTGCATTGTATTCTAACTGCTGTGGAAAGGCATGGGAGGGGTTTGTGTTTACTTTGTTGTTTTAAAAATTTTTATGGAGGTACCACTTACATAAACTAAAATGCACAGATCTCAAGTATAAAGTGTGAGTTAGCAAATTTACGTATTAGAGTTTCAAGTGGAGTAAAGGGTGACAATTTTATTTGTTTTTTCTTTTCAGATTTTTAAAATTTATTTTTAGAGGGAGGGGAAGGAAAGGAGAAAGAAGAGAGGAAGATAAACATCAATGTGTGGTTACTTCTCATGTGCCCCCTACTGGCAACTTGGCCTGCAACCCAGGCATGTGCTCTGACTGGGAATTGAACCGGCAACCCTTTGATTCACAGGCTGATACTCAGTCCACTGAGCCACACCAGCCAGGACTTATTTGTATTTTAATATCTCTACCAACAACAGTGTGGGGGATGGATGGAGAGACAGACAGATGGACAAAGGAACAATAATCTTGTTACATATTCAGTAAAACATGGTATAACTCTGAAAAGGACGTTTTGTGGAATAGTCATTGCAGGTGACTTTTGAAACTTGTTCCTATGGCTTCCCTGCCACAGGCAAAGGCTAGGAGGTAGGGCTCAAGGTTTGTGAAATTCACAGTCTGTGCAGCTTTACTTTGGCTGACGCCTGCAGTTCTGCACTTCCCCGTCACATTTATAGTTATTTCTGCTCAAATAAAATGCTTATTGATTGTATTGAGCAAATACAGCCTGGATTCTCACTGGACCTAACTGACTCAGCCTTCTTTCTGCCTAGGGTAGATGTGAGTTATGTGATCGATAGGGTGATGGAGGTCACCCACAGGTGTGATTTTTGAGGGTTTGTTAAAAAGGTCCCTCTTCAAAGATAGCTTTTCCTTCAGCCTTTTCTGGTGCTGAAATTCCACCATTAAAATGTCTTGATTTTGAGTGTGTGAAGCCACCATGGGTCACTATTCTGAATGACAGTTGGTTAAATACTTACCCGTGTAACAGTGGAAGGGAGCAGGATGCAGGCAGGTAGGTTTGGAAGGTTGTTCGGGTTTGGGAGAGATCCAGGCCTGCAGCACAACGTCCTGAGTGGACAGGTCCAAGGGAGGGCCGGCACAAAGGCCCGGGAAGCCTGCAGCGGAAGGAAGGAGGAGCAGCACAAGGAGAGTGCAGCAAAGGAGCCAAGTCTCCTTCAGCACCTCCCGGTCTTCCACCAGTGGTTACATGGTTAAGGAGAGCTCCATGTGGTATCACATGGAGGGACTGCCTTAGCTGAGTTCTGACCTCAGTACAGATGGAGGCTGACAGACTAGGGAGCAGAGCACACAGGTGGACACACCTTTGTTCTGGCCCCACCTGTAAGTGCAGGCCGGGAGGAGATGTAAAGCCAGAGCTACAGTGCCTTGGTCTTGTTTGTATTCAATGGTGACATTTTAGATAACTCCTCTCTCTCTTGTTTCCAAATGTTTAATGGTTTATAATTGAAAAGGAAAAAGAAGGACCTTAGGGAAGTCCTGGACTCAAAAATGATGATCAGATGAGTGCTCTGTTGCTGCCCACAGCTGGGCCATGTGCCTGAGGGTTTTCTCTTCCTCTAGCAACAGTACCATTGCTGCTGCTTATAAAATGTATACAGTCCTTGCTAGTACAAAGCACGGTTTTAAGCACTCTGAATATATTGTTTTACTAATGCTCCTATGATGTGGATCCTATAATTTCTTCCATTTTATAGGGGGGCAAGGCACAGCTCAGAGAGGTTAAGCAACTTTCCATGGTCCCACAGTTAAGTGCTAAAGTGAGGTTTTGAACCTAGAGCTCACACTGGAAGCACTAAGCTGTTGCCTCTCTTGATTTGTGTGTTCTTCCAGCGTGTTCTGCTGTATTTGTTCAAGTTACTAAGTAAGTGTCTGCTTCTCTTCTGTCTGCCTCTGGTGTCTAATCACCTGGTGGGAGAGACAGATCCTAAGTATTGCATTTGAAGTAGTAATCCCGAGATAACACAGGAGACTTCAGGGAGCCCAGGGCAGGGAGGGATGCTTAGCTCAGCTGCAAAGGTGAGTCTTAGAGTTGTCTGGACTAAAACTGGAAGGATGCCTATGAGTTACGCAAGAGAAAGAAACATGGGGTGTCCAAAGCCAAAGGGACGATGTGGGGGCAGCACTAAAACGGGAGAGGCCAGGCCAGGGCACCTGCCGACTTAAAAAGTGTGAACCGTGCTGAACACACAATACAATATACAGATGATGTATTACATTATTGAATTGTACCCCTGAAATTCATATAATTTTATTAACCAGTGTCACACCAATATATGCAGTTTCTTTTTTTTAAAACATGTTTAAGAGAGAAAAAGTGTGGGTTGTGTTTCAGAGGAAGGGGAGGTGGGGTGGGCATTTAAGAAAAGCCTGTCGTGCCCAGTGCTTTCCAGCCCCAGCGCACGGGGCTTTGGGAGAAGATGAGTTGTGAGGGCCTGTTGAGGCGGAGGAGACGGCCCTTCCCGCCCTCGTGGAACGCCCCCACGCACGACCATTGCTGTAGCAGGCTTCTCAAGGAGGCAGAGAGGCAGGCGGGCTTTGGGATCGGACAGACATAGATGCTAGTCTGGATTGTGCCCTTTTCGGCCTCCTGCAGAGCCTCTGACCTTATCTAGAAAGAGAGGGTGACATATTTCAGGGCTGTCTTGAAAAGATTAAGAGTGGTGGTGTAAAGCCCCTGTAATAAGTGCCAGTGGTGGCGGTGATGGCGGCCACAACTGCCCCTGTCTTTCTCCCCACATTGACCCAATGAAGTAGACAGCTGAGGATACTTAGAACAAAGAGTGAAGTGACTTACTTAAATAATAAAATTGTTGATAAAGTGGAGACTCGATTTCAGATGACCTCCAACTTGGCTGTCATTAGTTCCTCACCATTAGAATCACCTGGCTCTTAATGTCTCCTTGAAAAGTGGCCCAGCCTGAGGTTAAAACTCTCATAGACCAGAACTTAGATGGCCACACCCAGCTGGTGGGGCCAGGCACTGGAACTGCAGTCTGCAGGCTACCTGAGAGAATTCCCTCAGTAAGGAAGAGTTTGGAGGGTGGGTGCAGGGGAGGCAACCAGCAGGCTGCCTCAGTGTCTTCTGGGACTTTTCCTCTGCCTTAAAAAAACTGGGTACCTCTGGGGCTTCTAAGGAGGTTGGAGATGGGGCTTGGCTGTAGGGATGATCATTTATTTATACTTAGGGAAAGTGCAGAAACATTTCTGGGTTTTCCCTTTCTTGCTGCTTCCGGCAGTCAGGGTGGATTTGCTCAACCCCCAGGATAGTTTCTGCCCTTTGGGATTGAGGTCCTGGGCTCACAAAACCAGCAAGGCGTGGTTTAAGGTCACTGGTCAAGCCTGTGCCTACTAGAAAGAGGCCTGTCTCAGGTGACTCGACTTTGTCATAGCTCCACTGGTGATCCTGAACAAGTCACTTCTTCCCCCACCAATTTGCCACCCTTCCCACTAAGTGGGGTGGATCCTCAAGGACCCTTCTGGCCCTGACCCAGAGTCCAAACTGCCTGGTTTATGAGCCGATGCCCAGCTGGCACCACTGGCGGCTGCTTTGCAGCCAGGTTTGCTATTGAGCTGGGGCAGGGACCGCTTGCTGTGGGCCCACTGAGTTTTGTCACCCTAATGGGAAGCCTGTGTTGCATGAGGCACTGGCCTGTGATACAGCTTGAGAAGTCAGGCCAGGAGGGGTGTGGTCCAGGTCAGCAGCGTATCACTGGGCACAAGGCTCCAAGACTGTTTTGTTTTGTTTTGTTTTTTTCCTGGCTCCCAGTTATTGGCAGGAGAGTATTTTCTCCAGGGACAAATAAGAAAGCATACAGACTTCTGGCCCGAGCTCATGGTCTCAAGCAACCTGACCCTGAGAGGCGAGAAAGCTGCTCCTGTTCCTGAGGCTCATGACCTCACACAGAGGCCCGTGGTTTCGTGGTCCCAGGAAGGAGCTTGTGACTATGATTTCCCATAGCTCGTGAGGCACGGCCGTCCAAGGTGGTGCCATATCTGTTGTGTCACATTTTTTGTTTAATTTTTAAAAATATGTGTATTGATCCTGGGCGGGGGAGAAACATCGATGTGAGAAAGAAACATGGATTGGTTGCTCCCATATGCACCCCACCTGGGGACCAAACCCACTTCCTAGGTATGTGCCGTGACCTGGAATCGAAATCACAACCTTTTGGTGTGTGGGCCAACGCTGCAACCAACTGAGCCACACAGGGGAAGGCTGTTCTATCACTCTTTGAAGTGTTGAGACACTAAAGTGCCTACTGTGTGTCTGTAATCCGCTTCCCGCTTTAAGATTACACTTTAGACATAAGAATACAAATATTCCACACATTTTGATTGTAATTTAATTGCCT